TTGTGAGATTTACAATAGTTTTTAAAAATTCAATCGTATTTATTCTTTGTTTATTTTCTGAAACTTGCTTTTGTCATAAAAAATCGCTGATTGATCCTGATCTAAAACCCGAAGCTGGGACTATATTTATTCACCCAGCTAAAACTTTACCGGACTACTTTTTAGAAGGGCTGTCAAATTCAGTGTTACTGTACCACCAAAGCGAAACACTCTCTTTACTGAGTTCTGATAATGGGTTCCTCGAGGTAAATTTTGCCGAGCTGAAACTTGTTCACAACATTTCGAACTTTAACTTTTTCGTTAAAAAGGGAGAAACTTTGAAACCACACGGATTTCTTAATTTCAAAGGCTCGGGTAGCTTTTACTTCTGTAACGATTCACGTTTGAATCCAGAACCGCCTTTACTTGTATATCAAAAAGGTTCTTGGAGCCAAGCAGCTAATAAATCATGGCCCCAAAATTATTGCAGCTCAAACAAAGGGGAGATTTTTCTAGTTATAAGTGGGAAAAACAAACAAAAGAATACCCTTACTACAGTCGAGCTATGGCGGGGAGGACAAAGAATTCGCGAGTTCTATAAATCGAGATCCGAGTCCAAGTTGTCGTTTCATCATGAATCAAAACTTTTGGCTCTGGTCGGTGGATTTATGAAAGGCAGTGTCGCATTTTACATGTCGCGTGAAAGAATTTCGTCGGACGCTAACGACGTCAGAGCATACGGAAATCTCAAAACTAAAATTGAGCATTCTTAGGAGGAATAAAATTTGATTAAAGCATAATACTCTTAAAACTTGGAGATAGGAGCCCAAAAAGAGTTTTGAAAACTTTGTATGTCAAGGTCCGGGGGTTTGTCAAAAATTTCAAAATTGTCTACAAAAATATCAAAAAGAAGTCATCACATAATCAGTTTGGAAAGCTTTAAAAGAGAAAAATGACTGGATGAGAGATTCAATTTGTTAAAATTTGCTCATCTTTTGACTCATTATATTTAGCGTAAGTTATGAATTACTGAAGGAAACCAAATCGACACGCTTTTGGGGTTAAATATTGACCCCGAAATTTGCAACTTTATTTGCAATATAAAACTTTTGGTAAAATTTTAAAGTGTAATTAGTTCTCATCTTTTTTTGTTCAATCTCAACCAGATGAATTAAATCAGCACTTCATTAGTTCTTGGCGTTACACCAATTATTATGACCACTTAGTTTGCTTTTAGTGAGTTTGGATTAGTGCAGATGATTTACCAAACATATTTAATTCGATTATAGAAAAATGATTTTCTATTCCAGCAGCGATTCCATCCGCATTTTAATCTGATGCATATATACTCGCAGTTCAAAGATTGCGAGATTGATACCCATACGCAGTCAACTTTCAGTGAAGTTGGGCTAAATATAAAAACAAAACCTGACATAAAATTAGGTGACATATAATAGACGCCCTGACATATAATAAACGCAAAGTTAGGTGCCACAAGTAATGGTCGGAATGAGTCGAGTGATACGTAATAATTAGGCACTTTCACTCGTGTCGAAAGAATGTTTTTCATTATTAAAATTTTTGTCTAATTTCGCCGGAGTCTAGCGAGTGATTACGTCTTATAGTTAGTGTAAGGATCTAATTTTTAAAAATAAGTTTAGTAAAATAAAGTTTCAATAAGATATACACTCGGTTTTAAACAAATTTCATTTGTAAGATACTTTTAGCTAACGAAACTCATTGTTCCTTAAAGTTTAAGAAAAAAAACTACTATATTTATTGATAGAATTTCTCATATCGGCAAACTGAGAAAAGGAGACACCTCATTTAATTGGTTCATCCTCTGAGAAAAACGTTGTTCTCAGCTGGGATGTCTTTACTGCTCCGAAATTTGCTGAATGTATGGAACTTTATACGCTCTACGCTCCCAGAGGTCTTTTACTGCTAACAAAATCTTTGTATTCGGGTGAGTTTTCGTTTTTTCTTTCTTTTCCATTTTGATTTCCACTAAAAATCAGGTACCACAATTAACCATTGGACTGGGTTGAGTAAAATCATATTAAAGCCCTTTCAGTTGTGAATCGAATAACTTTTAAAAATTCCCAAAAGTTTTTTCTAGTATCGAGAAAAATCAGTTTGAAAATATTTGAAGAAAATTGGCAAAATGCTTGCGCTCTTCTTTCCTGACATTTTAGAATAAACTTTTTCGACGAAAGGTTGTTTTATTGTGAAAAAAATTGGTGCCTTGAGCTCATGTTTTAAAAAATGTTTTTCACTTTGCATCAATTTTTTTTCCAAGTAAGGGGTTTGAAAGTGGGGTTTGATCATTGTCAAATAGATCATTTTGGGATGATTAAGGCGCAATAATTAGTTCCGTTATATATTGCGTAAGAGCGAATTGCTACTGATAGAAATTATGCCAAATTGAATTGATTTAAGTTATTCTATTGACTTACCTTTCCAGAGTAAATTATGAAACATGTCAAAAAACCAAGCTTGTTCATATACGTAAGGGTCACTTGAAAAATCAGTTGCGTAACTCCAAAAGCGCAAATTTTGCTCAATATCTCGTTTGTTCATTTGAACAGTCCACATTAGGCAATCAATAGTTTGAACGGTCTACTCGAGATTGAGCAGTGACATCATTATTAATATAAATAAGATTATCTGTGGTCGTTAATGGGTCCCATAGATGATGCAATGCCCAAGGGTCACAAGGCGAATATAAACGCAATTTTGTTTTGTTTCTCAAAAATGTTTTTTTTTTGTTTTTCAAAAGTTTTCGAAAAAAAAATTAGTTTGACTTAAAAATTTCGTCGAAAAATTTTTTGATCGAAAATCCATCGCATTCTCGAAAAAAACCCTAAATCCGCCCGGGCCCGTAAGTGGACTACATCATAGAAGCTCCTCGGGTGGAAAACATCACACAGTTTCATAGAGAAAAAAGGTATGAGCCCGGGTTGACCTCCATAGACCGAAAATGCTAATCATACAATTCCATAAACCAGTCTATAAAAAACTACAAAAATACAAAGTTCAAGTTTTTTGCTACAACGAAGTACCCGAATTTTCAAAAAAAAATTTCTTGTTTTTTCGTAAAATTAAGAAAAATATTTTGTCAACAAACATTGCTAATCATGCAATTTCCATATTTAGAAAATCTATTGACCATCACTTTTTGATGTTGTAATGCAATATTGAATTTGACCCAAAACTGTCTTTTTTCAATCGTAAAACAAATTTTGTGCTCAAACAATTTTTTTCTGAAAAAAAATAGTTTTTTGTGCGCATAACGTAATCTTGGATACACAAAAGTTGATTTTGTTCCATTTCCCAAATTAATGTTCTTCAAAAACGCTCAGAACGCCTTATTTTGTATGGCACATCTTTTTGTATGCTTTGATCAAGGCATGATTAACTAAAAATTCAGATTAGAAAAAAAAATTGCCAAAACTTAAAATTTTCTTGTTTTCATTTTTTCATTTTTTAAGACAAAAATAAAACAGTTCAGGCCGTTAAAGATGCGTTGTAATTGCGGGACGGTCAAAACTTTGGTGAATTTACTTTTGTGTAAGCAAGGTTTTTGCCACATGTGATCGGTTTTAAGAAATTAAAATTTAAGAAAATATAATTTTTTCAATCATATTTTCAGTATATGAAAAATCACTAATCATAGACCTTTCATGCACTTTTCTGTACTGGTGGAATTGCATTAAAAGTGTCTGAATAGCATTTTTTCATATATGAAAAGTGTATGACTAGCATTTTTGGTCAACCGGAAGAGCAGCATGATAACCATTTTTCCGTGCAATTATACCCTAGAATGAGCCTTTTTTCAAACTCTGGAGTTGAATTAAAAGCTTTTCTTCAGTAAGTCTTAAGTGTATGTTAACATAGAAAAACAACAAAACATAAGGTCTGTCTAAACAAAGAATTTTGCATGAAAACAGCATGGGCTACTTTATTGACACAAAAAAAATTGCAAGCTAAATTTTTTTCGTAAAAACCTTATGTGTATTATGGAAAAAAGTATATCATACAGCTTTAATACATGAAAATTAATTGATAAGCTTTTTTTTTACTCATAACGACTTTCTGATGCCAAAGTTGCTCTCATGTAACAAAAACGAATTTAAAACAGTTTAAGATAATTTCTTAAAATTATATTTTCAATGGAAAAAATGATTTTCATTCAATTCCACTATGGTACCTTGTAACGAAAATCCCCCCTATAAAGAAAGGATTGAACAGTTAAGCATATACGAGTTTTGTACCGTGCTAATTATTATTTATTTCCCCCCTATTGCAATTTGGGGGGGGGAGAGAATAGTTAACAAGATCACAATCTTTTGACCATAATTTTTCGGATCTACTTAACAATCCCCCCCCCCTATGGTACCTACTTAAGAATCTCCACCCTTATAAATAAATACAGTAATTTAGCTCTAAGCTTTCTATAGAGAATTCTAGTTTTGCTGCATTCTGATTGGTCGAAAAATTGACCATTTTGATCTATTTAACAATCGGCCCCTCTTTCTTGAAAGGGGTGGCAATTGTTAAGTAGATCCAATTTTTCTCCAGCCTTTCGTTGCTCATCGATTTTTAGCTTTTTGTGTTAAAAGCGGTTACATGTCAGTATTTAGACAGCCGCGTATTCATACTGGTCAGTATTTAGACAAATACTGTTTCAACCAATCAGAATCGAGACAAAGAAGAAATTAGTAAATAATTATTATTTATTTTGGATTATTTGTTTTTTCTCGATTCTGATTGGTTCATACAGTATTTGTCTAAATACTGACCAGTATGAATACGCGGCTGTCTAAATACTGGCTGCACTCCGTTAAAAGCGATCTTTCTGACTGGTCTCCAGGTCACCTTACTCAACGGATAATTAGCGTCGACAGTCTTGCAAACGATGAAATGACTAATTAGTCATGAAACAACATGATATTTATTTACTCACCGTTTTCATAAACAAAAACCAATCGCATATTCTGAATATTTGTATGACGCTTAACTTTTCTCACTTTTTGCATGTTTGTTCATATTGTCCAGCTTAATCAAGTTTTTCTTTGTTTTCCGCTGGTTGTGTTTTGCATTAGTTTGGACAGGTAAATTGATTGCTAACTCTATTAGCTCTACTTATTTATTGAAGTCGTGAAAATATCATGGACGCTCATAGCTGGTGTATTATGTAAACAATGAGTTATTATTGCATAATAACGACCCCCCCCCTCCCCCGTTGATGCTAACACCTCTTGCTCTAACTTAAACTCGAATGTCTGATAAACATGTTTGGTGTTACATTTCATAGATAATAGTTGACGAATTGATATTAGAAAAAGAATTATATAAAACAACACAGAACCTACTAACTTAATGGGAAGGTAACTTCTTATGAACGAAGGCGAAGGAAATGCAGTCCAATTTGAGGGTCCATTTCGAAGGGTCCTGAAACTATTCACAGATTTGGACCAATCCCTTTTTTTCATTACATAGATAGGGGAGCGTAGCGATTAGCATGTGTGCCTATTAGCATGCAATTTCTTCTTTAATTGGGTGTCAATTAAGACCAACAAAAATGAACGAGTCTTCAAACTGCATTCTTATACATGAATATGCTAATCGACACACATGCAAAATAGGCCGATTCCCCATAGATATGAATAATAGGGTGGCTAGTCAATAAGCAGAATGGTCTAAGAGCAGAATGGGTCAAAGAGCAGAAAAATAGAAAAATATCAACTTCTATAGCTAATCGGTAAAATAACTATCGGAAATGTCAAAAATAGTAAAGCAACGAACATTTTATGCATAATTTTAGCAATTTAATCAAGAATTTTTTAACAGATTTAATCAAAAAAAATTAATGAAATCAGTCAATTCATGTATAATTTATTCGTTTTCTTGGTATTTTTTGACGATTCTAATAATTGTTTTATCAATTAGCCCGTATAAACCAATGTAAGTCAATATTTTTCTGTTTTTCTGCTCTTGAACCCATTCTGCACTTGGACCATTCTGCTTATTGCTCCGCCTCCGAATAATAGGATACAAATGATAGAATGATTTAATAATTACATAATAAGGTGAACAATAAACAAATACCGAAGCAGGCGATGATGAGAATTAGATCCCCTATAAAAAACAAGTATATGTATGAAATGTGAGTCCATGAACCGCATTTAAATCAATTTCTACCCAAAGTTTCCGATAGTTTTGGGGTGTAAAACTTTTTCTCCAAGACCCATCTATTATTTAGGGGCCCAACCCCAACTATCATACTTGTACCATACAATACAAATACAGACGAGACCGTCCGGACGTTTCAGAACGTCAGCTATCTTAATCGGTTCCTCGTGTCTTGACCTTACTTCATATTCATGTGTTAATTAAACTGAAGAATTGCTCAAATTTCAATGAAAATATCGATGCATTTTTTACATTAGGCAACCAGGCAATTCTAGGTACACCTATCCATGCGAGATTGCACGTTAGTGGCTGCTTTTTTTCGAACTTATTCTGTAATTCCATTTAATGTTGGGTTGGCACAGCCTATATATAATTTATGGGGTTTGGGACTATTTACTCTGAATTTCTTCCCGGGTACGATCAGAGTTGATAAAACAACCCCCCTCCCTATTGGTGCTCAACACCTTGAACGTGTACCGCACCTCTGCCTTTGTTTAGACATTGAGGGAGGCCTAGATATTCGGCTGCTCATCGATTAGACTAGTCTGAACATGCGCATAGAGTCCAGACATTGTTATTTATGCTCAAAAACAACTCGCCTCAACTTTCAATTTACTATATACTAGTTTGTACTATTTGTACTAAATCAGACTTTTCATCGGTCAAAATGTTTATTGGCTAGTTACTCATCGAATCACCAGTAATTAGTTATTAACCTCTTTATTTGCGACGTTTGTGCTCGAGGTTTGGCAAGACTAAAATGCAGTTTTTATTGTAACATACGACTATTTTCATTTTTCAGATAAAGTGTTTTTTTTTATATATATTTTTTCAATTTACCACTTCTGGTTTAAATTGAATATTGTGAGATTTACAATGGTTTTTAAAAATTCAATCGTATTTATTCTTTATTATCTGTGTTTATTTTCTGAAACTTGCTTTTGTCATAAAAAATCGCTGATTGACCCTGATCTAAAACCCGAAGCTGGGACTATATTTATTCACCCAGCTAAAACTTTACCTGACAACTTTTTAGAAGGGCTGTCAAATTCAGTGTTACTGTACCACCAAAGCGAAACACTCTCTTTACTGAGTTCTGATAATGGGTTCCTCGAGGTAAATTTTGCCGAGCTGAAACTTGTTCACAACATTTCGAACTTTAACTTTTTCGTTAAAAAGGGAGAAACTTTGAAACCACACGGATTTCTTAATTTCAAAGGCTCGGGTAGCTTTTACTTCTGTAACGATTCACGTTTGAATCCAGAACCGCCTTTACTTGTATATCAAAAAGGTTCTTGGAGCCAAGCAGCTAATAAATCATGGCCCCAAAATTATTGCAGCTCAAACAAAGGGGAGAATTTTCTAGTTATAAGTGGGAAAAACAAACAAAAGAATACCCTTACTACAGTCGAGCTATGGCGGGGAGGACAAAGAATTCGCGAGTTCTATAAATCGAGATCCGAGTCCAAGTTGTCGTTTCATCATGAATCAAAACTTTTGGCTCTGGTCGGTGGATTTATGAAAGGCAGTGTCGCATTTTACATGTCGCGTGAAAGAATTTCGTCGGACGCTAACGACGTCAGAGCATACGTGAACAGAATTTCGAAAGTGTGCAATACGAGACCGAAAAACCAGAGCGATACGCTCGGCGGCCTTGAAAAAACTCGCAACATGGCTGAATTGAAGTGCTCTTTTTATCACGAGGCAAGTACTCACTCTTGTAGAATAAGGGTGGGGGTTTAAGCAGGGAACGATCCTTGATTTTTTTTTCATTTTTTGAAAAATTTGAAGTTAGTTCGAAAAGTTTTTGAAAATTTTGACAGGTCGATAAAATTGACTGTTTTTCGAGCTCTCCAAAAAAACTTAACAGATTCTATTCTGCCAAAGTTTCCTTCGCCGCGTGCAATTTTTTTTTTGCAAAAACAGGCCAAAGATGCCGTTTGTAGAGCATTTTTTGAAATTTTTGACTATTTTTGACTATTTTGAATATGATAGTTAATTGACTTGCAGTGATTGACCTATGATTTTGTGAGAATAAAAAATAATTAACATTTAATTACCATCTTGGAAATACTTCGCTTTATTTTAAAAACATTTTTAATGAAACAAATAACGGAGTTTTGATGAATTTCAGAAAGACTCGTCTCTGCCGTCATTCGTTTTCAGCCGACTAGTAGCCACACATTATGACATCACATCCAACCAGCTTTTCGCCTTATACAACACGTGGCCAAATGCACCGGAAGCATCCGCTCTGTGTGTTCACAGAATCAACGACATCCGCCTTGAAAAGTGCGAAAACGAGCTGACGTCAACTAAGCCGAAAAATATTGAGTCTAGAAACCCTATCTTTTTGCAGACAAGAGAAGACCATCTTTTATCAATGTTTTCAATTGAAAGATTATCTTATAGTTCGTCGAATTTTCTGATGTTTTTCGCCTCACAAGACGGCGTCATTTTGAAGACTTTGGTCAACCCTGAAACGTACTCGACTACCGTGATTGCTAAATTTTTGCCGTCCAGCCAGCCGAAAGCGTTCATCAAGCAGATAGAAATAGTTGGAGAGAGACTGTTCGTCGCAATAGACCACTCAAGACCTCTTCTGCTTGAAAAACACGGTTGCCAAACTTATATCTGCAGGTTAGAGAAACATTTTTTTTTTAAAAGGAAAGATTGTAAAATTACACAATGGGGATATTTTTGATGGGGGGGGGGGGGGGTGGTCAATTTACTATATTTCCCCAAAAAAGACCAAGTGAAGAAAATTAAAAGTCCACCCCAATGTTTTCGGGAGGATGCTGACTTGGTCATTTTTCGGAGGAGAAATCCATTCATGCTATTTTATTGTGCATTTTGAAAATGGATATCAATGGCCGTAACGTAAAATCCCTCATTATTTTTGAACAATCTTGGGTCAAAAAAGTTCAATGGTCTATTTTAGAGTTTGCGAAAAGGATCCTTTCTGCAGTTGGAACGAAACATCTCAAACTTGCGTCACGAAAGCTAGCAACGGGCTAACAGAAAGCGAATTAAAAATAAAAGCATCGCCCAATTCTACTTTCGATTTTTGCCCAGAAGCAAAATCAAGCAGCAATATCTCGCCATCCAGACTAACCGTTTTAGCAGTCGATTACTTGGGTCAAGGTAAGTTCAAATTCGCCCATTTACTAAATTTCAAAACATCACTTTACAATTAATAGGCAAGAATTGAGGAATGGACAAAATAATTTAACACCATGTAATTAAAAGAAAACAAGATATTTTTAAACGTGTATTTGAAAATTTCACAAACTTCTTAAATCATTGGTTGACTTCAATTTGAGGCATGCTTCAGAAAATTTTGGACCTGAGAATTTGACGCATCAAAACTCCCGACCTCCAACTAGCTTTGAACAATTAGTGCTGGATTTGTCGGAGAACCGAGAATTGGCACTTGAATTCATTCTAGTCGCGACGCCGTCTCTCGTACTTGGTCTGATTTGTGGAGTATTCGCGACATACGGCATCGCGGGGGTGATAGTGACCCGAAGAAGGAAAAAGGAAACAGCATACGAGGCGACGTACCCGAGATCTAACTACAGGACAACTGGGTCTGAAAACAACGGGTCTACTATAACAAGAAAAGTAAGTTTTAGTTTATTTTCGAATCGCCTGACAAAACTTCAATATTATTTTAGCCCCTAGTCTATTATTTACATTCATTTTTTCGGTAAAAAAACAGTCAATTTTTGGAAATTTCACAAAAAAAAACGAATGATTAAGTTAGTGATTCTTATAAAAATTAGCGAATTTGGGTCCAAAATAGGGCTGATTGTTTTCTTAACTCGGTGTTTTATGCCAGTTTTTTTTAAATTCAGAACGCCAAAACTTATCCGGTGCAGAATGTGGTCGCAAGAGATGCACAAGAGACCTTTCTCCGACCCCCCTACCTTCAGAGTACCTCCTCCTCTAGCGCCCCCATGTGTCACAATGAGTTCCCTCCTCCCCCTTCTGATGACCTCAGTCCCCAGTACTCCTACATTCCAAATGAGGGAATCCAAATCTCAAGTCCAGAACCCGATGTTAGGCCTCCAACACCTCAGAGAGCCAACATGCGACCATCTGTTGCATCCAGGGTTCCGTACGTGAAGTGCGCCATCGGGAATCGAAGACGGAGACGGATGAGTGACAATTCGGCGCTTCTCATGGGACCCGTCAACTCGACTTCCGAGTTCGGAGGACCGCTGCCTTCGATTACAGGATCGCCAGCTAGCGAGCAGTCACTTTACACTTTCCAAATGCGTCGTCCGAGAAAAAACGAAGATAGAAAAGTGTCTCAAAGCTCTTCGCAGTCATCAACGTCAGATAACGTTTTCACAAGCTTCTCAAAAGTGTAAAAAACATAACTAAGTTTTGTTTTTGGATGAAAATGTATTTGTATTATTTTATTTTTTATCCCTTTTGCTTTCGATTTCCATGTTTCAGTTGTTTCAATTTTGCCTCAGTTGTTTTATATCACATATTTAAGCTCAATACTAAAGCTCGTTTGACTCCCAAGGATTACTTTTTTACAATCAAAGTGAGGTTTATTTGAAACCCTTTTATATCTTGTCTGTTAGATTTTGTGTGATCTAACAAAAAAGATTCTGACCATGTTTCTCTAAAAATAAGCTTAGAACTTTAATTAACGATTCGAATGCTACTATCTTGACAAAAAACAATGAAAGTCGTGTCGGTATAAAAATCTTGTCTGTACAAAAGGCCAAAAAACAAAATTTGTCCAGTTCAAATTAGTCCAAAAGTCATATCAGGTCCAAAAACAAACAGTCCCATAAAAACAGTCACAAAAAAGTCTAAAAGTCGGTCCGAAAAAAATTCCAATTGATAAAAAAAGATAATTGTTCCACGAAATATTGAGAAAACTTCGCATGGTTTAAACAATTTTTGGTTCTATCTAATCCGGATGATAAAAAGCAGTATAGCAGAGAATGTGGAACCACTTAGATAACAACAGCGTCCACTCAGTAACAGCAACAATCCTCGAAGCAAAAACTAACACAATTAAAAGATGGTCTTTTTGTTTGATTCAGTCAAAAATATTCAAAAAGCTCAAGTTGTTTCAATTTCGAACACTTGGTTCCACCTAATCAAAAACTGTTTGCTTAAAATCATTTAAAACTATGCTTACAAACAAAATTTCTGAGTCACTAACTTTGAAGTGCATGCATATAATAAACACCGAACACTGCCATGAAAGTCTCTTTCCTAGCGATGTACACAAAGCAGTTGCAATAGACGTGTATGTAAAAAAGAGCACTGCATTGAGATTGTTAAAGATCACTCGAATTACCTCTAGTCCTACAAAAACTCACGATGTGAAGCAGTTTTTCGTGCACGACTCCGGTCTCCAAGATTAAGATCGGGTTACTGTGTTCGCCACATTACCTGTACCAGACATACTTAGACTATCAGATGATTGGTTCTGGGATGGAACCTTTTGGACTGCTCCGAATGTCACCAAATTTGTAAAAACACGTTCCAACTGAAGAAAGCCTTGTACCTCATGTTTAAGTTGTTTAAGGTCTGCTTCCAGAAAAAAATCAAAATGGAGTAGCCATCAAAGAATAAAAAATGACCTTTCCTGCATCAATAACGCTGTAGAATATTTGAACAGCATTTTCGTAAAATTAGTTATCATCAAGCACCCTTCCTTTGTTGAAACTCATCGAGAAATTCAAGGACGATCAGAAGAATGCCAAGATTTTACTTTAAAAAATCGCGCAGGGCAATAAATTACAAGAGAGTATGATTAGGTCAAAGCAAATCAACGGTATCACTGAGTTTCTAAGGAGGTGTAGTTTTAATATCGAACTACTAACATATTTTTTTGTTTTTAAAATTTATTCAACATTGCCACGCAAAAGATTTTTAATTAGTTTCTCTGTTTTTGTTTTCAAAATTGAGCAAGAGTCGATTAAAACCGGCAGCGATACGTTTTACCGGCATTTTAGTTACATCCAGTGTGTTGAATTTCCTTTCCTGTTCGTCCATTTCTCTGAGTTTGATCCCATTTTTTGTCATAAGAAAATACCCGTTTTTTGTTTAGCCAACTTTTTTTTGGAAGTTTTGAAATTTTTTGTGCCGCCCGGGATTCAGTCCTTTGATCTTAAGATTTTGAGCAGTGTACGCTTTAACCACTATACCATGTGGACTTCCATTTTGATGTAATTTATTTTCCAATTTTTGGTTCTTTAATTACGCTCGTGTTTGATGATTCACAGCGAAAATTTTAACGGTCGGAGCCAAAAGATCAAGGTCAAAAATTCATATGGTTTCGGACTGTTTTAAACTTGTTTGTTTCTTGGGACTTGTTTTATTAATTTTTTTGGAATGTTTGGCATGGGACTAATTGGTATGTGCACCGTAAAATTATGCACGTTTATTCCAAAAAAAATTCCAAAAATTAAAAAAAAACTTTTTCATTGGTTTTTTTTCAGACCAATTTTTTAAAATGTATTCGTTTTTTCGGTGCCGGGCAAGCACTTTTTTTGCTTCGAAGACTAGGTTCTCAATTTTGAAAAAATTGTTTCAACAGCTTGCCTAACACATTTTTCTCTACTCGCTGGCTCAGCGATTCTCAGTTAGATTTACTTCCAGAACCTTCACACTAGTTTTTTATTTCAAAGAAAAACTATGGAATTTATTCAACGGCGGTTAAATCACAAAGTAGCATAAAAAAGTTACAAATTGATCATGACTGGTATATAAATTAAGGATTCAGAGTGGTTGTGACTAGTTCATACTATTAAACAGTTTCGAGAAACATAATTCAGAATTAGTTTTTGTTTGATAAATTCTGCAAAACCCCTTTTAATGTAAGCCATGATTAGGAAAAGAAAAGAAAACTTGAATAAAGATAGCCGGTTGCTTCACAAGTAGCACAGAATGTTCCGACCAGTTTTCGTAAGAAACTATAAACTTTTTTTGAAAATAATTAAAGTCCAATAAATAAAATTTAATTAAGTCCAATTCAAAACAAACCAAAAGCGGAAAAACCGATTGATCAAGGTTTTGTACTGGATTGTTTTACTTAAGTCTTTTTTGTAATAAAGATCTCTCTTTGCAAATCATGACTTCCATAATTGGAGCCTTTGTCTTTTGGCCAAAAGCTTATTTGAGTTTTATCTGCGCATCTCTAAAGTAATTACATTTTTAAGCTCGTCGTATTAAATGGCTCGTCGTAATTACATTTTAAGCTCGTCGCTACCCCTGGGGTTTTTATAATAACATCTCGATCATGATTTTATACTTCCCTAAAAATGATAGCAATCGGCTGAAAAATAGTTTTTTTTCCAATTATTTTGGTACAAAATTAATAACCAAAAATAAAACACAGAGATGGCTAGTAGTTATTTATCCTTTCGAAACTATTGAAGTACCTAAATAGGTTGATGCATAAATTCCAAAAAATCTCAGTGGGTGAAAAAAGTGAAGGCTTTGGAGTTTAAATTGAACGAAGAGCGAACAAAGTCAATCATGAAACGAAACATACTTCAAAACTTAACTTTTAAAAAGTTTGAGAAAGTTATAGAAGCAACATGTTAATGTCAACCGCTAGATTTTCGGCTTCGGTCGCGACGTTTTTAGTAACAGAAGAAGGGTCAGTCTCACTTTTTGTAAAGTAAAGGCAGCCAATGACGCGTACTTGATACAAAAACTGCCCATCAACAATTCAAGGGAGGACTTTCAATTAAATTTGAATGATCGCTTTCAATCTGCCCTAACGTTTCGATGTCTCTCTAAATGAAAGATTGTGAGTGAAAACTGCGTTTTACTTAAATAAATGATTTAAACTGCAGGGTCTGGGGAAACCAACTGCGGGCATTAGGTATGAAGTTCCCTGCAGCATCCTTTGTTTACAAACTTTCCGCGCATCCAGTCGCTGGGTTGTTGATTGGTGAACAGATGCTATGAGTTTTTGAGAACAGAAACAGTTTTGAAAGTTGTTGATCTTTTTGACTTTTTGATTCCAAACTTTGAGGGTAATGATAATGTGTGAGGACGAATTCTCACTCGAACTCTAGCTTCAAGTATACCACAACCCGACCAAATTTGGCTGAAATAGTGGATTGGCGACAATTAGTAACAGGTAACAAATCGTAACAGGCGAATATTTGTAACAAGCAATAATTTGTTACAAGGCCCTGGTAAGTAGAATACGCTTGCTCCGCTATTCTTACATCAGGCAAGTGAGTTAGTGTTTCTCGCTTAATCTATTGTTATGAATTGTCGCTTGTTACAATTTGCCGCCTGTTACGATTTGTCGCTTATTATGAATTGTCGTCTCAAAGCAATAATGGTGCCACGTGGAAGCTCTCAATTCAAAAATATAACTTTTATTGCAAAAAAGGAGCTTTGCTCAACAAGGAAACTAAATTTGGAATGTGGGGAAACATCAAAAACCGATTTTGCTTGCATAGACAGGTTAGTTTTTCATTAAATAGCAGAAAGCACAAATTAAATCAACTAAATTACAAACTTTGAATATTCACTTACTTTTTGCTAATTATTGGAAAAGAAAAGAAAATCATTAAATTATTGTTGCCCGCCAGACTCTTCTTAGAACTGGGGAATGCTGTTCGGGTCTTTTCGGTTATACCCCCTTGAATGAATAAACTTGGCAGTTCAAATTTTGAGTTGAAATTGAAAGCGCGAAAGCGAGTGAAACAAACAAATAAATAACACTCGCGTGCAATTAGCAGCTGCTCGATTAAGAAACCTAGAGATAACTTTGCCATCAGATTTTGTTTCCTAATCCAGCAGCTGCTAATAGGACGCGAGTGGTATTTAATAGTTTGTTTCACTCGTTTTTGCGCTTTCAATTTCAACTCGAAATATGAGTTGCCAAATTTATTCAAACGGGGAAGTGGTATAACCGAAAAAACCCCGCGGTGATAATTGCTCAACTACCAGGTTGATGTGAGTTAAGCAGCCGAGCTCTTTATGAGACTCCAGCAACTTCAAATTGATTGACACTAGAAGCCGTTGATGACAAGGAATCCGAAAGTGTTCTCTTGTAAAAAAAAGTTTATTTAAAAAAACTCAATTACGTCGTTTGATGAAATAAATAAGATTGTGTTGTCACTTGAGCGCCTAAAAAAAATTTCGTTAGTTAAACTGTATTCGCACATTTTGAGATTGCCGAGTTAACAGAAGTCGAACAGGCTTGCCATTCTGTTTCGAAATAAAAACGAACCAAAACCGCTGTATGTTGTCTAATTTAAACAAAAGAAAAGGTATTTATAAAACAATACAAAAACCGTTTCTCCCTTTTTTAAAACTGATTCAGCAGAGAAAAATGAATGTAGATGCGTGATGGCTAATGACCAGTTGCTGACTCTTCATTGGTTGAAAGGAAAAGGCGTTTCGAAAAATTGCTGAAAAGACCTGTTAAACAGCAGCTGAAAACTACCAAAATTCATTCCCTCTAATAATTTTAAATATCATCCAAATTATCACTGA